TCAGGGTCTGCTGGGGCTTTATGACAGGTCTACACTCCTCCAGCACTGATGACACTTCTCACCTCTCCTCTGTGCGCACTCTCATGCTGGCCTTGGAGGGTCCCAGGCACTAGTGTGGCTTCAACCACGACCCATCTCTGACACCCCCCAGTGGTGTTGCCAGCTTCCTGCTCTCCCGAGCCCCCAGCGATCGTCAGTGCTCTCCAGGCATTCACAGCCTGCGTCTGCCTGCAGCCGAGCTGACCTCCTTGTTAAGGAAAGCCTTGGTCCTGCTCAGAAGCATCTGTGCAAAGGTAGGGCGGCTCGCCAGCTGGTGCAAACAGGGATTGTGTTTCTCAATTTTTACACCAAAATATCAACCCTACTAGTTAAACACGGGTCTCCCAAAGCATATTCATTTCCACTTAATCAACAACTTAAAATGCCAGTGCCTGGGCTATCAGATTGTATAACCTCAGATTGTGGTGCTATTTCTAATAATAGGCCCGGAGATGTGATATGCAGAGGGGAGACCGAGGGATGTTGTCTGTACACCATCCTCAGTCCTAAAAGCGCGTCCCCAAACCTGCAAGCTTGCCTGTCTCCTCTCTCTATAGATGTGCACACGAACGCCCATGTGCACCCACGGGCCCACTCGTGCTCACTCCCCGAGCCCGGGACACAGGTCACGTCAAGAATCAGCTAGACGAACAGCTGCTGCTTCCGTGTTCTTGGTAACACTCCGCAGACACAAAGGTCCTTTCTGTGTTTATATGACGAGCCCTGAATCAGCACCAAGGAAAAAACTTGTTTTTCAAGGTGCACGTCTGCTTGCAAAACGCTAAGGACTACGTGGATCTTCCCCCGCCTTGGTGGCGAGTGGCAGCGTGCTCTCTGCCAAGGTTAATCCCAAGGGTAACACACTGACGCCGCCCTTTGTTTTCACTGTTGGTTATACACTTGATCTGGAGGCAGAGGATGTAATGGGAAGACTCCAAGCTTTGCAGCATTTCCAGGTCCAGATCTGAATCCTGGCCAGCCACTCACTCAGCTTCTGGGAAAACCGTCTAATTAAGGTCCGTCTTCCTCGCCTGTCAATAAAACCCGGACAGACCCCTCTCCAGACTGTGACAGCACCCAGTCCCGGCACCGCCACACGACAGGGGCTCCAGGAGGTCCCTGCCAGGCCCCCCGCCCCACCTCAGATCTCTCTCTGACTACGAATAAAAGATATGCGTATTTTATTTTAAACCTTTCAAATCGCTTTTTTGAGGAAGCAGACACACGCTTTAAATGGCAATGCGCTCCTGTCCCAAGCACACTGAATTTATGATAGCAAAACTGTCCTTTGTATGAGACAGTGCTCCTGGGCTCAACACATCGATACAAGCCACCAGGCAGACCCGGGGCCCTCTCTCCATCCTCCAGGCCTCCGCCATCTGACTCTCATCACCCACGAGGCCTTCTTGCCCGTCCTGGCTTTCCCCACCTGCAGCTCTTCGTTCAGCATCTGCACTCACCCACCGTGCTGCCTGGAGTTACTTTCTCTGCTTCCTGCCTGACCGATACAGGCCCCCCCACCCAGGGTGTCATTCTGCACCCAGATAATTCACAGCGTGGGGCTGAGCCATCAGGCACACGGCCTGATCCTGAGAAAGGTCCCTGGAAATGTGTTCCCACATCTGAAAGCATCTCCGCGGTGGCTGAATGCTGCAGGCACCCAATTAGCAAACTGTTCTTGGGCGAGACCTTCCACGGAACTCGAATCATGACAAAACATTCTCATCCCTGTGAACCACCCAAGTGTCTTTACCGCAAGAATAAAGAATTTCAATGCAAACTATTATACAGAGAATGGATAAACAACAAGGACTACATTCAATATCCTGTGATAAACCATAAGGGAAAAGAATATGAAAAAATGTTTGTATATGTGTCACCGAATCCCTTTGCTGTACAGCAGAAACTAACACAACACTGTAAATCAACTAACTTCAATAAAATTTAAAAAAAAAAAAGAATTTCAAGATTCTAATGCCGTCTACTAACCAAAGACACTGTGTGTCTGACCGAGTGAGGCAAACTACGGCATTTTTCATCGGATTTCCCAGGTTTTAATCAAATTTTCTCTGCAAAGCCCGAGGTCCTTAGCAGGCACCAGACACCCCAGGGCAGGCCACGCTGCACAGGAGCTGGGCTTGAATCTCAGCTCCTGCCGGGCCTGTCCTGAGAGCACAGTGGGGCTCCCAGGGCCTGGTGAGGCTGCTGTGAGGGGCAGGGCTGTGCCTGGCATGGCAGGTGGCGGGGGACCCTCCACACGGTCCCCCCGCCACCGACATCCAAGGCCCATTTAATGATACCAAGATTAAATGGCCCTGACTTAGTTTCCCATCTTTGGGTAGCAACTGCAGTTTTGCGACTTGAAATATTGCAACTGAAGTGCAGGAGTTCAGCAGCAGATCACTCCGCAGAATTAAATGCAATGGGAGGGGACTTTCTTTGACTCCAAGGGGGAAAAGGGTGCTTTGCTTTGAAAGGAGGCCCTTCAAATAAATGGTTTCTTACTTAGCCGAATTCCTCTTAACTTTCATTTTCTAAATCAAGAACTTCTGCCAGAGAACTCTGTAATAGGCTGCTTAGGTTATCAACTATATATTTAATTCAATTCTGCCCATAATTAAGGCTAGAATATATTATAATTTGGAAGATAGATATGTATGTATATACTATGTAATTCATTTTGGCCTTGAGTTTGTAGAAATTTTACCTTTGTGAGAGTAACTTTCTCTCACTTGTGAGACAAATGATAAAATGATTATCATTGATAACACTACCAAGAAAACCAAAGGCAGGCCCCCCTGACAGGTTCAAGGTCATCTTTCCCGAGTCCAGTGGTCCAGCTCCAACAGAGCGGAGGGGACGGCCACAGGCCACCAGAAACACTACCAGGAGGCCACTCAGTCAAATGTGGCAAAACCTGGAGGGGCAACAATGTATTTTGAAAAATTCTTCTTACAGCTCTTTTAAGGCCTTAATTTGAAAAAGACTGGGGGGTGGAGGGGAAGCAGGGGAAGCAGATGAACGAATGAGCCTCTGCTGGTGCTGGAGAATGCAGCCTCGCCTCACAAACTGTGATGAAGCCACTGCATTAACGCCCAAGCTTCCCTGCCAGTTGGTTTCCAAAGCAGAGGGGAGGGGCTGGCAGTGTGCTACACACGGGGGCTTTGCAAGTAGCTACTGAATGGACAGGGATATTCTAAACAGACATTGATGCCAGGCAGTGTGAAAAATCAATTTGCTATTTAAAATCTCTAACTTAGGGAGTTCCCTGGCGGTCCAGTGGTTAGGACTCAGCGCTTTCACTGCTGGGGCCCGGGTTTGATCCCTGGTCGGGGAACTGACATCTCGCAAGCCACACGGCTCGGCTCAATCCATCAACCAATCAATCAATCAAATCTCTAACTTAAAAACCAGTCCAGGCTAAGAGAACTGTTCCATTAGGTGGCCTCCAACGAGGACTCTTTATGTCAGAGTCTGGTGCCCGGCTGTTGGCTGCTGTCAGGGTGATTCCTAAAGCCCAGGTGACACTGTCTAAGACAGGTTAAGTGACAAAGGTCTACAAAACAACAACACCTGTCCCTTTTCTCCACCTTCCAGTCCAAATACTCCCCATAGGAGTATTTCTTCTTCACATCCCCAAGTGATGCCTAAAATACGGTCGAGGTGTGGGCTGCCCCTCTGCTCGGGCCACTTCCCAACATCACCGCTGGCATGCTGTGTGGCCTTTCTCTCAGGGACATGTCCCCTCCATCCCCATCACTCTGGGGGCCCCGCCCTCCCATCATCAGGACCCAGGTATGACTCTCCTAACTAACCCCTTGGGCTTGAGTTTCTAGTAACCTTCAACAGATTCTTGGAGCCCCATGGGAGAGGTTTCCTCCTCAAGTTCAAGCATGGCCACGCCCCTCGCCCCGAGTACACACGTTGAGTGGCAAACCCCGCAGTCAGGCAGGGGACGACAGTGAATACCTCGCCTCTACAGGGAATGTGACCTTGGGAACCTGGCAGAAACTGCAGTGGTTTTAGGAGAAACTGGAAATCCAGACTTTTTTATCTGAAACCTCCCAAGTTTTAAGACACCGGTTCGACTTTGAAAATTTGGCTACCTGAACCAAACCAGACTCTGAGTACAAAAATCATCCCTGGGGAAAGCAGCTGGCCACCTCTCCAACACAATACATTCAAATCTTCCAAACAAGCAGAGCCGCCGGTGGGCCTGGCACGGCTGCTCCCCAGACCCCACGAGGCCGAGGCCCACGGGAGATGGCGGAGACCATGGAGAGGGACTCGCTCATTCGCTGCGTGGGCTTCAAGGTCACAGGAAAGCCCACCCCTTGAACTGCGAGTGAAAGAGCCTCACGCTGCCCATGTGGCTTCTGGCTCCGGCTCATGGTGGTGAAAGAAAGTAGCAAACAGCATTAACAGGTGTGCAAACACATTACTATCCACCTTCCCAGGAGGACAGTTTCTTTCCTGGTTATTTCATCCAGTGTTTATTCTGTTCTCTCTTATCACACACGGGCTTCAGGCCTCATGAAACCTATGAAAAAGTGTAAAAACCACAGGGAAAGTATTTTAAACGAGACTGATTAGCCTAAATAAATAATAACCTGTTCTTCTTTCACATTTTAATTCAGAAGACAGGCATTCTAGCTCAACAGCTAGAACCTCACGTCCAGAGCCAGCACCTCTTGGCTCCTGGCCAGAAGGCTGGGCCGGGGAGATGCAGGTGGGCACGTGCTCTGTGCGGAGGCTCGTCCCAGGATCCGACAGGTTGAGTGTCCAGGATGGGCCATCTGGCATCCGTATGCTATGCCATGCCCTGGCCTGACCTTGAACCAACGTCACAGGCACAGGTGCCTTCAAATCGAGAGCAACAGCAGAGGGGCAGGTGCCCCCGCGCGGCCGGCTCTGCCTGGAAGGAACCCTCCCTCGAGAACCGACGAGGAGCCCCACGTTACCTCTTTTTGCTGCCGCTCCAGCTCCTTCATCCTGATCTCTCGGGCCTCTGCTCGTGCCGCGCGCTTTGCCGCCAGCCTGGCCTCCGCCTGCAACAGACCCGGAGATGGCATTAGGAGACAGACCAGCGGCTCCTGTCCAGGACACGGTTAACCATGATGCTCTTGTTTAGAGGTTAATAAATAGTAACACAGACTTGTAAGCGTTAAAAGGGTCCAGGAATCACAGTCACCATAGTTACAGTAGTCACGATTGCTCCCTTTTATTGACCGCTTACTAAATGCCAATGGGTGCTATTCTGAGGGCTTTGTGTACATTATGCCATGGACTCCTCGTAACAGCCCTATTGGGGAGATGGTGTTACCATACCCAGTTAATAGATAAGGGAACTAGGGCACAGAGAGGGTAGGGTGCCCACGGTCACACAGCCCACAAGTGGCAGGGCTGGGTGGTCTGCCTTCCTCTGGAGCGGTGACAGATTAGTGCACGGAGCAAAGCACTAGAGCTGGACAAGACCCCAGGTCACTGGTTGAACCCCTCCCTTTACAGACCAGGAAGGAGAGGCCCGGAGAGGCCACCAGACCTATCCAAGGTCACAGGGCTGAGACTCTGCCCCTGCTTTCCAGAACTCCTGTCCTGTCACCCCTCACTACTCCCCACTGCCCCCCAGCTGCCCCTTCAGCACCTGAGCCCTGGGAAGCCCATCTTTCCTCAAGCAAGACATCCTCCACCAGAGCAGAGTGGTTCCAGCTGTTACATTAAAACAAAATCTGGCTCCATTTAACTACCTGTCAACTTGCAGCTGATCTGCCCTCTTCTACTCAAGAGCATCTAAAACGCTTGACCAGGACCAACCAACGTCGTCGGACCTGGCACTTGAACCCTGTTTTGCATTCTACAAATCTCAAACTTATTCATTATCGCAGGTGATACAACGGCCCAGTGAGGTGAACGGTGCAAGGGGACCAGGATCCAGGTTTTCTGGTGTCAAACAAATCCATCCTTTCCATTTAATTTTTTATGGGAATACACTTGTGATTCTTCCAACAGTTCTGACAGCTTTCGCTGTTCCCTAGGTCATCTTAAAACGGGGCCTTTGGAGACGGCCACATGCTTCTGATGTGGCCATTGGGGCCAGCAAGCAGTGAGGTGGTCCAAATGTCCTGTTGTCCAGTTTCTTCCCAAAGGCCAGGCACCCTGTACCGCAGGCTCCTACCAGGACCGTGGCTCCTCATGTCAAGGACGTCCCTCACCCTCACCCCACAATTATATTGCACAGAACTACAAACTCATCTTCTTTCTAAGTTCTAATCTAAGTTGAAAACTGACCACAGCTGATCTGTCAAAGATTAGCTAGCTAATGTCCTCATAAGGAATTTATTCTATAACCCGCTTTGTTCATGTGGTTTCTTTATTTAATTTTTTTTTCTTTTTTGCGGTACACGGGCCTCTCACCGCCGCGGCCTCTCCTGCCGCGGAGCACAGGCTCCGGATGCGAAGGCCCAGCGGCCATGGCTCACAGGCTCAGCCGCTCCGCGGCATGCGGGATCCTCCTGGACCAGGGCACGAACCCGTGCCCCCGTCATTGGCAGGCGGACTCCCAACCACTACGCCACCAGGGAAGCCCCATGTGGTTTCCTTATCAACCCAAGCCCAGGTCCTTCAAATCAAGGATGTCAAAAATCACAACTGCATCAGAACTTTGATACCTCATTGCCATTTTCAATTTTCTAAACCATGTTACATTGTGTGATGAGCCACTCGCTCAGGGTCTATAAAAAGATCCAGACAAAACGGAGGGGAGAGGAGGGGAGGGGAGGGGAAGGTTCGATAGACTGACATGTGGGTACACTGACTCCCTATAGCCCCATCAACGGGCCAGCAAGAGGTCTGCGTCCACGCCGAGTGCAGCTGCCTCTCCAGCCCTTCCTGGGTTCCCCGGCTGTTGGCCCAGGTTCTAAGCCGGTGTGCCAGGCAGCCACAGCCCATCAGCTTGGGGAGGGGACGGTGAGGAACAGCGAGGGGATTTAGGAAAAGAGAAGGGAGGGGCACGGAGGAAGAAGAGACGGGTGGGGGAGTGAGAACGTGAGAAAGAGGCTGGAAGCAGGAGGGGCTGCCAGAGGGGCACAGGGGAGAGAGGTGTGTGGCAGGCAGGATTCTAGGATGGTCTCCGAGACTCCCGTCACTGCTGTACATGCTCTGCATTCTCCTCTCCCCTTGAGTGTGGCCAGAACGGTGAGTATGACAGATGTCACTCCCGTGACTGGGTTACATTATACTGCAAAGAGAAATGCACTAGTAATGAAGGTCCCTCGTCAGCTGACTTTGAGTTCATCAAAACAGAGCTCCAGGGTGAGCCTGACCTCATCAGGTGAGCCCTGGAAAAGTGGGCCTGGAGGTCAGACAGAGACTCCTGCCGGCCTGGCAAAAGCAAGCTGCCACGTGTGAGAGGGCCTGTGAGGGGTCGCATGACAAAGAATGAGAGCGGCCCAGCTGACAGCCAGCAGGAAAATGGGACCTCAGTCCTGCAACAGGAGGACGTGAATGCCACCAACAACCACGTGAGCTGGGAACAGGACTCTGAGCTCCAGAACGGATGCAGCCTGGCCGAGACCTTGACTGCAGCCTCGGGAGACCCTGAGCAGATGGACCCAGTAGACTGTGCCCAAACTCCTGACCCACGGGAACTGTTAGATAATCGGCGTGTGTTGCTCTAAGCTGCCACATTTGTGGGTATCTGTCCCGCATCAGCAGACGATTGACACGAGGTGGTGAGGTCTGGGATGATTCCTGCTCACACAGCATGGGTGCCTCTGTGACTAAGGAGCCCAAGCCCCTGCACGCCCACCTCCTCCCCAGCCTGTCCGGCCAGACCCCTACTCTGCTCGAACTCCTCCTGGGACTGGAGCAAAGATCCTCGAAGAGACCACCTCTCTGAGCAGGTGGTCCCTGCCACCTGAGACGGCCTCCCCACCAGACTGGCAGGCCTCCAAAATCATGTCCCATCAGACCCCAGCTACTCTGGTGGGCCTCTACCCGCCAGCAAAGGGCTCCCGTCATGGCCCACCTCCTCTCTGGTCCTCACGTCCACCCAGCGTGTCTGTCCTGTCCATGAGAACAACCCCCGACCTGAGGGACCTGGGCTTGAGTTGACAAAGGGACCACATGAATGAATCAAGTTACAGGACAAGCTCCCTGTGAGGACACGAGCTAGCCAACCCTGAAGACAGATCGATATGGTCAAGCTTCACCTTAGATTAGAATGTGGAAAGGAGATAAATAATTCAGTACAGTTTCAAATGCTTGCAGTCACCACCATATGAAGCACCTCCATCTCACAGGATTCTTACATGACTCATATGTGGAGAACAAGGCTCTCATAACACAGGAAGTGGTAACAACCATGCTTGCTTCTGGGACTCTGGCTAAAAGCTAACAGATACACAAGCCAACGTCTGAAGGGGCACAAAACCTATGCACAGGCAACTTCATTAGCACAAAACCAGTATCAGCAGAATAACCCCAACACAACCTGAGATGCCTAAAAGAAAAACCACATGGAGCTTTGACAACACAATTCACTCTAAAATGCCGACACTGCCAAGAACACAAAACAGCCAGACACAGAGCATCACAGATGATGTTCATTTAAGACAGCATCAGAGGAAATGTTTGAAAGATCAGTCGTTCAATGAACAGAAAGTACAAAATAGCGATGGTCCACCCTGGTGACCTGCAGGCACGAGTTCATTCCCCCCAAACTTTCCAGGGAGGCCCAGCCCTGCCCTCCAGTAGCAAACCGTCAACCGAGCGGTTCCAGGGGTCGGTGTGCCCCCGGCCAGGGCTTCGGTGATGCAGGACAAATCCGTTGCGGACTGACGCTTTTGTAAAATATAAACTCACACGCTTGAGGTCACAGCCAGCTCACACTGTTTGAGTCTCCAAATGCACACTTTCACTTTCTGTCCCTCGCCTGTAGGGGACTGCAGCTTCCTGGCCATCAGCACTCCAGCCCAGGCCTCGCAGCACTGCCGAAACCGCAGGGGAAGGACTTTCAACATGCAGTCTGGGGCCCCAGTCTCAGGGGGTGCACACAAAGCTCTCGGGGACCATGTACAAGTGACAAGTGCTACAGTGGGTGAGAAACCGTGCTGGGGCTGCTCTGGAGGCGAACGCAACTCGTCCGGGTGTCGGGAAGGCGTCCTGGAGGACGGGGGCCCGAAGCCAACGCCATGGGGCAAAGAAGAGAAGGCCAGGCTGGGGGGCGTGGGCGGCAAGGGGCCAGGGCGGGGCGGCGGAGTCCCGAGGGCCCGGCTGCCTGCGCTAGCCTCAGCCCTGCTACCTGGAACCTCATCTTGAAGGAACGCGGAACTACTGACGGGTCTGAAGAAGGCAGAGCACAGCGGGGTCTGACTTTCGCTTTAGAAACGTGACTCTGGCTGAACGTGGGGACCAGGGGCGGGGTGGGGAGGGCGGCATGAGACCCAGGAAGTGAGGAGAGGCTGCTTCTGAGCGGGGGGTGGGGGTGGGGGGGGGGGAGCCTGAGAACATGAACCATGTGCCAAGGACGAAGCCGGGCGGAGAGGCGAGAGGGCCCTGGAGGGAACGTCAGGTGCCCAGGGTCCCAAGGAGGCCCACGCGGCCCCAGGAGCCAGCCTGCGGGGGGGGGGGGGGGGGGGGGAGCCTGAGAACATGAACCATGTGCCAAGGACGAAGCCGGGCGGAGAGGCGAGAGGGCCCTGGAGGGAACGTCAGGTGCCCAGGGTCCCAAGGAGGCCCACGCGGCCCCAGGAGCCAGCCTGCGCCACGTCGGATGCCACTCACCCAAACCCGAACCCGGGCACATGGTCTGCTGATGCCTCCGGCCTCGGAGGTGGGGCATTTCTCCACCCTGACCCCCTGCTCGCCGCGCTCCCAACCTCAAGGGAGACGACAATGGCCTAAGAGAAAGGATGGGGCCAAGGAGACGGACTATGGCATTTAGGGCACAAACGATGAACTGCACAAGGCTGCAAAGCAAGGTTTGGGAAACGAGACTTCCTAGGCTCCCCCTCCCCCTGCCCGCAATGGCTGTCAGCCGTCGTCCTTC